ATTTTCATAATTTATTGATGAAACATCCTAGATGATCCAATTTTAATGGTGTACTTTATCATTCAATATATGAATATTTTGAGTTCATTTTTGTCAGAATTATTATGCTTTCTATTGAAACGTGTGCTTATTATTAGAATTTGATGATGAGATAGATCCTGAATGATTTTATTTTATTGGTGTAATAAAAATATATATATATGAGCTTTTTCCTTAAGGACTAACTTCTAATTGTTTCGTTTCGAATGATTAAATTCTTTTTCATTTTATAATAAATTTAATCTCAGTTTTTTTTAAAAACAAGATTTACTTTGTTTAATTTATTTTTACTTTCAAATTCTTCTTGCATTTATTATAACAAAAGGAGACAACTGATATATTAGATGTTTTTATAGAAGTTTTTTTTTTTTTTGGTTGAAATTAATAATTGAAGTATTTCAATTTAAGTATTACACGTTTTAGCTCGCACTGTTGTTTTTAAACATTATTGGTCTAAAATATTTTTAAGTGTAAAAGTTTTGAGTATTTCATTGCATATTTAATGTATTTTGGTGAATTACAATTTTATCTTAAGAATTTTGTTAATTGAAAGCGAGATTTGCTATACTATAGTGATACCAGTGTTATTATTGGAACGCGTGACAGTTTAGTTAATTCTTTTAGTTACTAAAGAAAATTAAATTTAAATTTTAAAATGGCCTATCTCGGCAAAGGTCGACGTGAAGATTTATTCGTCTTGGCCACAGAATTAAATTTAAAATTCGATAAATCTATGACCATCATTACTCTCAAAGACCTAATTACTAGTAGTAAAGAATATGACGAAGATCTAACCAAAAACCTACACACAACGATAGTAGAGGATCGTAAGGCCAAGGAAGTACAATTACGCATAGAAGAACGGGAAGAAAAATTACGCATAGAAGCCAGTGCAGAAAGAATACGCATACAGGAACGAAAAGAAAGAATACACATCGAAAAATTGAAGTTTGATGAACAAAAACGT